TGTGTGTGTGTGTGTGTGTGTGTGTGTGTGTGTGTGTGTGTGTGTGTGTGTGTGTGTGTGTGTGTGTGTGTGTGTGTGTGTGTGTGTGTGTGTGTGTGTGTGTGTGTGTGTGTGTGTGTGTGTGTGTGTGTGTGTGTTTCTCTCTCGAACTCTTTTATAAACTTCTATAACAATTTCAATGTTAAAATAATTTTAACAATAATATATTTTGCTAAACGTTATCGATTTTTGTGGCAGTACTGTAACTCCACTGAAGCGGTGCACAAGCCCTAACAGCGATGTGAGCGAAAACGTATTTACGCTTTTAATCCAGGCCGACTATACAACGCAGCATTTTTAATCATAGTTGTCATTGTTAACGTAGCAAGATTCAGGTTCTTTCCGCACAACTAAAAATGCGCTACGTTGACTATCTAGCGCATCAGCAACATGTTCTATCGTTTGTATGCGACAGGGTGGTTAATAAATGAAATAGACGCTCAGTCGTCAGTCCTTCCTGTTAAATTAGCTTCACTCGGCTGTGAAATCTCCTAATAATCTCCACACGTGCAGACGCAATACGTGAAATGATCGAGCTTTCGCAGCACTGCTCTGCTCTGCAGTCTCCTCACGTGTCGCAAATAATTACCGTTACGCCAAACAATTAAAAGGCGGCCGTTGGAAACCTGATTCCGACTCGGTTCTCGTTGATTGCTCCACTTTGATCCATCAAGTAGCCGGCGATGCCGCAGATGCTTTTGGCAAGAGCGGCTGCCTATAGCGAAGAATAACTCATGGCCTTGTAGGTAAATCATTCGGGAATGCGCAATTAAGAGCTGATTACGAGAATTCGGAGATTTCACGAGATGGTAAAAAATCGATTGTTTCCTTGCGGGTGTGAAACGCCATTCCAACACGATTTTGGGAAACTGCGCTGCACGGTATTACTGCTCGCATGTCGCTGCGCTACATGTGGGACTGCATCATGGCGGTGAGCGTTCATGAAAACGTATATAAATGCATCAGTACACACTGACATAAGGAGAGGAGCCGTAACGGTAGGAGAGTGTCTATTAGTAGCGTAGCATTAGTATAATACGCGACATCCTCCAAATAATAATTCTTTACTTTCCAGTGTACGACGGAATGGCAGAGAGCGTGTCATCGAGTCATCAGATTGTCCCATTAGCTTTATTCTGACAGGGATTATTAAGTCTGAGAGCACTCGCGAAAACAGCGCTGGTTCCATTTCCCCGTACAAGGTAACCGAATATTCGGATGTCCGTACTATGGATGAATGGTTGTTGTTAGTACAGCGATGTGTTTACTGTGATGCCTATATATACCAGCCTCCAAATAAGGGCATGGGAGAAAATCTACCGACATGCTGAATGGCTACTAATTTGCGCCTGTAATCATCGTGAGTGCATTCATAGCTGTAAAACGCCGGTGGTGTGAGAAGAGATTCACAAGATGGAGCTCGCCTGTGATGTGACACCTTGTTGGCAAGCTCACCGCTGGCTGCCTCTTACGCGTTATATACATAGAGGACGCGACAAAGCTGCTGTGATTGCCGACTGATTTCCTTCGAATGTCGGTTTTCTTTACTCGCCGACTCTTTCGAAATTTCACGGCGCGAAAAGGTAAATTAGATGAGTAGGTGTTTGGGTTAGGGTCTATGATCGGACAGGCTATGATGGCAGACTAGTGTATAGTGGGCTCTGTAACACGCTATGTTGCTATTGACAGCAAACTGTCGTATATATATATAAATAAAGTCAAACGATAGAATAAGGGTGTTTAAAATATAATTAACAAGCGTTCGAGATTACATCTCTTCACCTACAAATCATAGAGAGGCTAAGGCTAGTATATGGAATTGCTTTTGATATTGGCTTAACACAACAACCTTGACCACAAGCAACATTGATTTTCTCAGTTCACTAAACTCCGTGCTTCCTTCTCTACTATGCAATAATTGTATCATACATATATTTATATATATATATATATATATATATATATATATATATATATATATATCAGAAGTGCGCGGAGAAGTCGGCGTAGTTACGCGTCATGTCAGCATGTGAGCAAATGTGTGAATGGTGCTACCTTCTCTCCCCATCGCTGCACATTTTTAATTGCTATTAGTTCTATCAGGTGGTTGTCACATGTGAACTAATCACGCCAACAAATTGGGCGAACAGCAACGGCACGCAGCGTGAATGCCCATTGGTGTATACGCGTAGGCACATCAGCAATACTTTCTAGGCATATATCCCGTGATTTTTTGGCAAACGAAGGAGGCAGATATATAACCCACAATACCAGTAATGAACACTCATGAAATTTCCAAAATACCTCGCATTGCAGTCACTTAATTACACCTAGTATAGGAACAGCTAGATGTATAACTTTCCAAGGACAAGAAAACTGTATTACACGCTTGAATGTCAATGTCGGATTCCTATGGCCTTTGAACCTTATTATGAACGTAAATGTTGTTACGACTGCGGTAACATGTTGAAATTGAATACATATATAGCATTAAGTTAATTATTACGTAATCTGATAGAGATAAGTACTAAACTCTTAACGATTACATTTAGAGGGTAACATACAGTGTCAGCATTTGCACAGTAAGGTAGTATTTGGCTAGAGTAAATATATATTTACCTATTTGCACGTATATAGTGTTGCGCCGTGAGTTAGTATATTTGAATAGAGTTCCTATTTAATTATTTACAAGAGTAAATATATATTTACCTATTTGCACGTATATAGTGTTGCACCGTGAGTTAGTATATTTGAATAGAGTACCTAATTAATTATTTACACGTATACAGTGTTACTGGATTATTCACGCCTATTTCTCCTACAACGCCGCTCTAATTAACTGCCCACGCGTGAGTTATGCCTCTAACTAGTTGCTCACGGGCAAGCTTTGTCGCACATTAACGTGTCTTCCCCGCACGTCTACTATATATATAGGCCTACGCTGCCTGAGAAATTTCTCGAATTTATACTTCGTTGTTACGTGCGCCGATTTATGGGAGAATGTCTCGATTGATGTTCGAGACAGATACCTTGCCATGTCGTGCGAAGTAAACATGGCAGCGGTTCGTTGCCACTAATTGACTTTTTTGTATCTTTAACTGCCCCGTTATGCGCACGCTCACTGCCGATGTCGTTTCGTGCTCGTTCGCTTCGCCTTAATTACTGTTCTCGCCTGTACCAGTTACGACGCTAAAGCGACGCCATGCAGAAATATACCATGCGTGCGACTTACGCGCACGCACGTATTATGTCGAACACGACTCTCGTTCTGGTGGAAAAAATTCGCCCTTTATTAAGAAATGATGGTCTTAAGGATGGCGCTAAGATCGGCTGAAGTGCGTACCTCTGCTGCACTAACATTTTCTTACACATGCAGGCACACGCAGACACGCTCGCACTCGTACACGTATACAAAATCGGTATGCATTGGATCGTTCGCATGGGTCGTTATACACACACGCGCCCGTATATTTGCTATATATAGACACGTAACTTTACACGCAATTAATTTTAAACGGTACTAATTAGTTTATGATGTCCATCATCATGAGAAGGCAGGTGTCTGCATTGTTGCCCCGCTGCGCTCTTCCCTCACAATTACACAATGCTACGAGCAAGAAAACGTTAATGGCTCGATCAATTACGGCAGAGCACAACGCGCGAACTTACGTGCACTTTCGAAACTATATGAGCGGTCATACATCTTTCTGTGAATGGCTTTAGTGAAGGGACAGTTCGTAAATTTATTATTCAGTTCATGTTAAACTCTAGCATGAACGAATTTATATGAGATACATCACAACATATAATACGAACATGTATAAATACATATGTACTCTGCGTTGGAGTTCAACAGCTTTGTCAATATCTATGGCTTCTTGGACAAGATGGACAATTATTGCCCCCATGCACGTTTACTTTTTCATAGTGAGCATTTAAGAAACAACATAATAGTGACGTTGCCTATTCCACAAAGTCCATTAGCAACTAGAGAGTCTAAACTGTTTGCCACAGAATCTATACATCTTCGAAGAAGAATAAATTCGAAGGCAGAATGGACAATAAGCACATTCTCTCGGGATTTCACAGTGAACGTAACGTCTTCAAACTTATTAAAAACGTACGCATTTATTACTTTACACTGTTGATATATTTAAAAGCAAATATAGCACGTAAAGACACTAATTTGATACAAGCGTGTACCTGTACGTTTTAAAGGCACGAAGAACAGATTAATCGCTAAGACAGCTATGATAGAAATTAGTGATTATTTTCGTGGTATATATGATATGAACATAAATTATGCATCGTGAAGCGAAGTTAATTGCTGAAACCCCTTTTTAAGTCCTTTTTGCACTATTGACCCCCTCCCTTCTCTCTCACACACACGTGCGCGCGCGCACACACACATTGATATATAGAGGCAAAATATCTTTAAACGTTCGAGTTTTGCAATTTTCAATTTGCTTTATCATTTTTAGGAAGAAAACTTGACTGCGTATATTGCGTCATGTAGATTTGAAAAAAATCTATAATGCCATCACGTGCCACATTATTACACGAATAACAATTAGTGTGTACGGCAGTTGTTATTAATAACATTTGAATTAATAGCAATCAAGAGCGTAATCAAACAAAATCAAACAATCAATGCATTTTTAATACGCCTTATGGCATCGGTGCAGGCAGTCAGGCCAATAGTAGCGAAAAAATCCTAACCCCGCCCATAAAAGTTATCCGTAAAACAGGGTCTTCGTAATATTCGCCGAGGTACAAAATTGTCTTCTTAAATTATCACAACGGAATCAATTTACTAACCGAGAAAAAAATGTTGACTGCGCGAATTACGCGCATGCGCACTCGGCCCCCGGCTGACCTGGCTCGCGGGGCGCGAACGTCGTTCGACGAAGCAGGCATGTTTACGCGACGCGGTGCGCCGCAAGTGACACGGTCTATACCGGCTGTCTATAAAAGCGAGGCGACACGACCGTAGAGACGCAGTAACGATATCCGTCGCAGCGTTAGCGCAACTCAACCAGTGACTGGACCGCGGCATTCACGTAGCACCTGAACTACTTCTTCTCCTACAAAAAGGTAAGCGACGGTCACACGGATGTTGGTGTTGTTATTCTAATGGCGAGGCACGTGGCATGGTTGATGTTGAACGCGTACGTGATGCGTAACTAGTGGGGTTCATGTGGCCGTGGGTTGTAAAAATGGTGTCGCCCTTTAAAACGTGCATGGTAGTGACGGCCGTTTCATACTTTCTTCATGCCGTAAACCTGCACTTTCTATGGGTATATTATTTATGAAATTTTTAACGAGAGCGTAGAGTTGTGTGCTCTTTAAAGACTTAAAATTAAAATAACATGTATGAGTTGCATGCGTTAATATAATGCATGTACAAAGATTGTGACCTCGTTTATATGTTACGTTGCCGATCTAAAAGTCGCGATTAAAATTCAATAGGAAATTAAGCTAAGTGCAACCGCGATCAGTTCGAATAAATGAATTCAACTAGAGAGCGTCAGTTCAAATTTCATACCTGTTCATATTTTTTATCGTCATAAGCCAGTAAAATAACTATTTTAATAATAAAATTAATAGAATCTCGAAATTCTGATATGAGTGGTTATAGTAAAAGTGAAAGATTTTCACTATATATATATATATATATATATATAAGTTTGCAATCCGAGTTAGCTGAAAATGCAATACAAATGTTTGAATTACGCGTTACATCACATGAGAAAACGAGCCGGGATGGTTTCTCATGGATAAAGGCACGTTAGCTTCTGTCGACGGGAAATTGTGTGTTGCTATCGTCTGAATATCTCTATGGCCACAAAACCAGCCAGGCCGGTACTACAATTATAAACTGCGTTGGCAATATCTCTAACAAGTTCAAAGATACACGGGTACAAGTCCCCAAGTTACAAACATAATTGTTACAATATTTTCGTGCAATGATTCGGTTGTTCGGAACTCAGTTATGTCGAGAATTGTGGTTTGCTTCGTGTACGCACGGTGTGTGGGTCGCGTTCATAAACACAAGAATAAATCTTATGTGCGTTCGATGTCGTTCGTTGGTCAGTATGTCCGTATCTCGGGGTCGCCCTATACTGTCATAATCGGTAAATGCGGAGGCGATTAGGTTACCATACCATTCGGTTAGCACAGAAAATGCGTATATTTAGCTGAACGAGTGTTAATAGCGGACTAAGTGCAATAATTATGTCGTTCATGTCTATATAATGAAGACGAGAGATATATGTTCTGCTTGGACGTATCCGCTGGCCAACTTATAATCTAATATCTTAAAATAAAATTAAACGGATAGTATAGCTAATGACGTAAGCAGCTCTACGCGACTGAACGGTTCTTCGTTTAAACTATTATAGCGTATGTCAGGCTGTATTTATCACCTCTTTATTCTACTCAAAGAATAAAAGTAATTATATTTGTGTACATCCTTTATATTGCGTCCCGTGTTAAACGTCAAACATAAAGGCCTGTAATTAAGGCGAAGGAAGTGCACAAGAATGGCATCTCCACGTATAGAAATTATGCAGACATTTGTTGTTATATGCTATTCGCTAATTAACTGCTTATCGTAAATTTTAATTGCGTTCAAAGCGGATATTTAATGTATCTTATAACACTAGCTATGTAAATCGTGTGTAAAGCGAAGGGCAATTCAATGGTAAACTCGTAGACGATGAATGCTACAAGCAATTATTTAAAAAGTTCTGCGTCTGTAGCCTATACTATTTCAGCGCTCGTCTATCACGCTACGAGAGAAATCTTGTTAGTGGCAATACCACGCCTTGCCTGAACAACATTCGGCAGATTGCCGTAATAACCAAATAACACGTGTTAGATTCGCCGGCTTCTTTCAAGAACCGCTGACATCAGACGATCCTTTCAATGACCATGAAGCCAAGAAAATCTTGCATTTAGTGATAAATATGTTTGCGGCAGCTTGACGGTATTAGCACCGACTTTATATCGTGGGCGTTCGTTTGTGTTTTTGAACGCTGCTGTTATATCGCATGTTTAGCTAGTGGCTATGGTTTCCGAACAATAACCGATACCTTACAACTAGAAACGTTTGCGAAAAAACAGCACACATATTTTGTTGACCGGAATATTTTCGTTGAACCTCAATTTATTTTGAGATTATACTTGTCAACTCTCTCGTTAAAACCACCGAATTTCCTATTTATGAATACATACACACTATGTTTAATATATTCTCTATAGAACATTCTTACCTATAGAAACAGATAATTATTAAAAAACGTGCACCGTAGAGGCTGCATGTCCAGGCCTCTTCTTCACGCATGCAGAATAATAATTAATACGCTCTCAACGTAACAAGTGATAAACTCGGTGACGTATATTGACAGTTATGAGAATCCGGCGGTGAGATCCCGCAGCACCTGCGGGGAGATACAGGTATATATACGAACCATGTCAGCATGGCTCCCTGTTAACGATGATGAGATATAACTCACCCACGCCTATAGTTGCTGGCTGCACTCGGAGCAACGCATCTTATCTTCTTTGACAGCGATATTGCGTCGACGATATTTAGTCCAAGGTTGGCTCATTAGACGACAAGAACATAGTCACTAACGACCCCTGTCACTAACGCACGTCGTGGAATCGTGACACACTTCGCTAACTACGTGCGCGTCTCGTTAAGAAACCATGATTACGTTAGCAGCTGCATATAGGCGACCTGTTCAGAATAGATGACTGAGGGGCGGGGAAGCGAGAGGGAGAGGGTTGCGAGAGAGAAAAAGATGAAGCGCAAAAGAAAGTGAATGAAAGGAAAAATGACGCGAACAAAGAGGCGAATGCGTAGACGATAAAACGAAACAGAAAGAAGATAAAGAATATATATATATATATCAGGGGTGAATAATGACAACTTTTTTATTAATATATAATCTAAATTTATTTGATATAAATCATAATAAATATAATGATAATTGAGGATATATATATATATATATATGTAGATAGAGAGAGAGAGCGAGAGAGAGCGAGAGAGAGCGAGAAAGAAAGAGAGAGAGGGGGAAGAGAGATAGATGAAGAGAAGAGAGAGCAAAAAGAGACAACCAAGAGAGCACTACAGAGTTGGATCGAGAGAGTGGGGAGAAGCAACATCATGTACTCATTATAATGCATATAATAGGTACAATGCATCATAACTGTCAATCACTGGCGTTGGGCATCAGACGTGTTTATTTATGTGTGGAGGCTTACCATTTTAATCCGCTAGTAAAGCGATAGCGGAACAGGAGGCTATATTAAACACGTTACAAATGGTTTCAGATGCAACGAACAGTCGAGGTTTTGCTTGTGGCAGCCGCAGTATGTGTGCTAACCTACCCGTCGTACGGAGTGGCAGGAGAGATAAAGGAGAGCGCACCTATAGAGTATATACCTATGATAGATCCAGTCGACACTTGCCTCTTCAAATGCGAATCCTGCTACAAGGTGAGTTTCCGCATCATCGCTTCGCGATCGACTCATCGTGCCTCATCATGTTTATGACTATCGGCAGCTAATAATGGTATTTATATTCATTAGGCAAATATATATTATACCTAAGAATTAACTATTCGTTAAGAATATATGACCATATTTGTTGGTCAGGACATAGTTGCCTTGCTCCGTTATTACCTAGGTAGTCATCAGTGGCATAGCCGGAATGATCACACAATGACACAGTGTAAGATTGCGCCATTATCAATGTGTGCTTCTTCGATGTTGTGACTTAATTACAACGTTGCGCCGTGCACCCCAATGGCAGCCTTCATGGTTATGAACATGCGCTTTTGTGATCGTTCTTACGTAGGAAATGTATGGTAGTTTAGATGCTGTCGTATGCTATTTTGATTATTCGCACATAATACGACGCTGTCCTCTGAATGGCCGAAATAGGAGATAGGTTAAAGGTTACTGACGCTAACAGTTTTTCTAATGCAAAATCAGAGTACCTCATTTATAATCATTAGTCACTCGTAAGAGATCATTACCAATCCTACTGTTATATAACATTACTTGTTAACGATGTATCTTCTATTTCTAAAAAATAATTACATGTAATCGTGCAGTTTATAATCTAATTTGCGCACACTATTTTACGATGAATCATTTTCTGCATGAATGGACCGCGATAATTTTTACGACGTATGATTGGGGACCAAATTGATGCCTGAAATTTATTACTATAACGTTATGTTTTCAGGGCTACGGCATGCTGAGATGTGCGAACGAATGCATCGAGACAAAGGGTAACATTTCGAAGAAGTGGCGCATGCGCTGTGGTCTCTTTGACGATGCCAACCTCGACATCCTGAGCCTCTTCAACACGATCAAGCGCAGAAAGTAGACTTACGGACTACAAATGATAGATATTCAAAGACTTTTTTAATTTGATAACATGCAAAATCCCCAGCAGAATCAGGAATTTTTTTGAAAGAAGTAAGTTTTCGCCTTATATCTCAAGGGAAAGCGAAGCAGGTTACCGGGCGCCCGTGGCACCGGCTCTAAAATACGCTGGAAATGTCAATAATGTAAGCTAGCCTAGTACGATTGTCGGTTTCATGTCGTGATCGGGGTTAACACGAGTAAAATCGGTCTACATGTGCATTTCCGCTCACAGCGTCTTTGTGAAGCATGTAAAGTAATATAAGATAGGTTGGTGGGCTAACATTGCGTAAATTCATTCACTTTTATATCGCATACTAAATGCCAATCAACAACGCTGTTATCGGATATTGCCAATACGTATAATCGATTCGGAATAATAGGTAGCCAACGATTACCATCCTCACTGTCGCTATCATTCAAACAAAAATTAAAATTTCGAAAATGTAAAACGCATAGTTTCAATACATGTGTGATTTTTTAGCGTCGGCCATCATAGACCTGTCATACACCGTCAGCGATTTATAGAATAAAATATGAGGTCGTTGCTTAAAATCGAACTACTCACAATCGTGCATTTTCATACTTGAACGATGGTCTCGTAAATCATCTGACGTCGTAATTTCACGCGCGCAGTCAGGTAATCCACTAATTGTTTTATTATTATATGTCGTTTCCAATTCACTATTGATGTATTACTTGTTGGTGAAATCCCCAGCAAGTGCGCACATAGTATGCACATTGAGTACGCACCTATGAAGTTCTTACACGTTTCTGATTGCGAAATGCATCCAATAAAGTTGATGACATGTGTGACAATATCTGTGAATGCGTTCAAACATATCTGAGTACTACTGAAAGTGACCTGAAATACGGTAGTTTCAGTTTCACCTGCTTCGCGTTTTATTTGTATAAACGGTACGTGTAGCCTGCAGATACATAATTCGCTACGTTTCCCAATCGGCTTTCAACGGCGTATCTTTGCTGTACGTTTTCTGTTTAGTTCTCGATTGGAAACCTCTCTGTCATGTTGCAGCTATCGTACCTACTTTGTCCCATATGGCGACTGTAGATGGCTTTAATCTGGATAACAGTTCGAATTAACGGACCATGAATTCATAAAAATGCAATTTGCGGTTCAATACAATGAGTTAGATTTTGTGATATTTTATGTGAAAATAACACCTAAATTTAATAGCTTCCAAAAATTTCCAATTGATGTTATACAGGTAACGTGGTCTAGCACTACAAATAATACGTTATTTGCCCTAGAAACGTGTATAGGAGATGAACATTTGTGGAAAGCGAGGATGTAGAATGCTGAACACGCTGACACCAATGCATTCGGGAGAGAATTGTAGCATTTTTAAGCCTGGGCTATCCATCAAAGTTAAATGACTTACGGAAACGATTAAATTACTTCTTCATGTATATAAATAAGTAAACCGAGTAGTTGCTTAAACCAAACTATAAGCAGCAAAGTAAGCAAAGTTACGAAACAGCAAAAAAATCAAAACCAACAAAACATTAAACGGAAAACTAAAGTCATTATCCATATCCACGGCAAAAGAAGCGGAATGGCGATCAATATAAAACATATATATGGCTATGGAATACTTGCTTGAACTTGGCCACCTAGTGATATCGGTTAAACATTCATAATATATTCATAATCATTTATGAAGTTCCTAGCAAAATAGTTAGACCTATAGTTAGGCCACCCGGTTGCCAACAATCAAGATATGGGTGGCGAAGAACCTAGGGGAACAGACATACTCTCTATCTCTTAAATAAAAATTAACGAGTCGTACCTTTGACGCAAATAAATAAGTGAATGTTTCTTAACAATCTTACATAAAGACGTGCATATACTGGGTGTGCTTCACTGCGGTTGTAGCTTTCAGAAGATTAACAATAGTCGCGAAGATACGTAGCGGACGGTGGTAGGTGGGTTCGTGGCTGACCGAACCAGGAAAAGATCCCGATTAAGCGGCGGTCTCGAAAAAATGCTCACGACATTGCCAGTCGCACATTCACGTGTCTACTTAATTGTACCTTACGCAACGTACGTATACGTACGCACGTACTTAACTTAAGCCTACGTGGCACTAGCCTTTTAACAATGACATCAATAGTGTATTAAGTATGCTTAAGTAATCCTTGATACGCTCTTGATTACATTCATGTTCGAGCCAATAAGTACTCATCATGCCCGGTAGGCTGCACGCGAACAGCCTACGGAACACGCTTATGACTCGACTAAGGATACAGTCAGGGTTACGGACAGGTACCTCTGTCAATGACATTGCAACATAACTGCTCATCAAATTCAATCATACTCATATCTATTTCATAAAAGAGATGTCTCTCTACGCTCTCGCTGAAAATAATTAAAAAAACTTCATCGCGAATTACGTGACGGTAAAAATTGTGAATTTATATAAAAATATGCTTTTTTCTTATTTCTCAAAAACAGCAAAGAGTTGGGACCTAAACTTTTAGCAATATATATAGTTGTTCATAGTATGAATTAAAAAACGATCCATGGAATATTTTTACATGCTTTAATTTAGGAAATAAGTTGAAAAGATGCACGAAAATTTGTAATGATTTTTAAAACACGGCAATTTCTTAAACAAAACGCCATAACTTCTAAAATATAATATTTCATAGAAATTCCAGGGAACGTTTTTTCCTTAAATATGTTAGCATTAAAACTGAACAAACCTTTTTGGAATCGGAGTTGTGAGTTTCGAGAAATAGCTTTTGAAAATTGAGCAACTTTAGCATTTCTAACAATGGAGATATTAGCACTTTTCTACATTTCACAGAGATTGAACGGCTCTTTAGAATATGCGTATGCGGGGATTTTGAACTGTTTGGGAGGCTTTGTACATATACACATACATATAACACGCACATAACAATATATATATATAACATATAATATATATATATATATATATATATATATATATATATATATATAACATATGCATATAATAACATATACATATACATATAATAATACACATACATATCTTCGTATAGATAGCCAGAGCCGTATATAAAGCTATCTATATACTGCTCTGTAGATAGCTGCCCATGGGCGCCATCTATCAAATCAAATGGGTATTGAAATTTCGACCGAAAATCACCTACCAACCCTGAATGTTTCCTAAAACTTAAAACTAAAACTAAAATGTAAGACCACCTAGGCACGGTGGTCCATAGATCTAAAAATATTCCGTGAGCAAATTTTGTTCAGAGTCACTGAAAACCCGATAATTGTCAGTTTGAATTAAGTTTAAGATCGTTTTACTTTCTACCTAAAATTGAAGGTTGTTCTGCAGAAAATATTCCGTTTAACCGAGATCACGTGGTTTACCCGATTAAAATTACGTGCATAAGGATTGTTTTTAAAAGAGATGAGCCTATATGTAGCGGGTGAAATGTATAGTGCTCAATTTTGTCCTTGTATTTTCTTATATTTTAAAAACAGACAGTAGATGCCACCGAGTAGTTTGATGCGAACAATGTCCACTCCAATGTATAAATTCAAAGCATATAGTATCTGCCAAGAAGAGAATTAAGTAGGTCGTTGACATCAGTGCCGGATTAACCATTAAGCAGACTAAGCACGTGCTTAGGGCACCAGGGCCAAAAAGCACCACAAAGTTGGGAAAAGAGTGAAAAGAAAAAATAAACGAATAAAGATTTGTACTTCCCAGATGTACCACAAGGGGCCCTAACAATACAATACAATACAAGGGGCCCCTAATGCCACCCAACAAGGTGCTAATTCCCAATTATCAGAAAGTGAAAGGTACTCAAAGACTTGTCAGACACTCATTGATGCTTATCCAGATGACATGAACAACACTTTGTCTACAGAGCTTCAGCACTTCCATTCATATCTTCTTCATAAGTTTAAAACAACCAAGAAAACATCTTTCACTCACATGGAACTTTACAACACAATTACAGAAGACAAACTAGAGAGTGCCTTTCCAAATGTTGAAATTGCCTTAAGAATATTTTTAACATTAATGGTCACCAACTGCACAACAGAGAGGTCTTTCTCACAACTGAAACGTGTAAAAAAAACAAATAGATTGACTCGTAGTCAGAATGAAGGTTTACATGCATGTACGCTCAAAATTGCCTCAAATACCATCTCCTGCGATCTACATTTTTTTTAAATTCTGGGGGAGGACCCGGACCCCCATACCTCTCACCTGTTTATCACCACCCTCCTTGAAATCCTACATACATTTTTGTACTGCTGCAACCTGCATTGTATATCTGGTCAGACAGGTCAACAACTAAAATGGACTGGGTCAGTGTGGAAAGGAGGGGGCACCAAGATTGGTCAGTGCTTAGGGCACCAGTGAGCCTTAATCCGCCCCTGGTTGACATGACACATTTACAGTAGAGTGGTTGTGTTCACGATTAATATACGTCATGGGTAATCTGCATGGGGATATCAGATATGTTAAAGTGAGACATTGAGAGAGGCTTCGTTAGATAACTTTCCAATTCAGATATAGTGTATAAAGTATACGTTAGGCAGACACTGCATCTTTGACTTGCACGAAATACTCGTCTTTGTTTATTGAACTACTCCCGGGTATGTTTTCCACTCTAAGCGGATAATATAACGTCTTATTTTCTGCGGGTATTGTGCAAGCGCGTAGCCGTACACCGCCAAGCAGACAAAAATCGGCAAAATAGGAGTATTTGCCAGACGAACATATATATTGTAGAATTGATATGGTCAAGATAATTTCTTCACTCGCAGCAAATGCCACCTTCCTGCGAGCGCTGTATTATCGTTGTTATATGTACTCTAGCGCGTCCACGGACCATCATGAACCATGAACATCATGAAGTTACGATCATTACGATCAGTGCCATAAAGAATATGGTATAGAGGCCAAAATCAAATTAAAGCGAATTGCGCGAATAAAGATAAAAATATCACTGAAATGAAATGAAAAGCAACAAGCAAGTGTGCGCGCGCCGACACGCGAGTACGTGGTTATGTGCCAGTTAAGAATGCGTTTGGCTTTTTTTAACCAATTTTACGTAGCCCTATTAACAATTATTTGCGTGTAACGTAAATTACTATGTCTAGCTAGCAAAGGTTTAGATACGCCATGCACATGTAAATAAATACAGCTATGTATGAAATAAATGGTAACTGCTTAAACCCTTTTTAAAAGACGAGAGTCCAGTAGGTCTTCAATGCAGTGTTGTTTTAATGCGAATGATTGTCAAAACAAAACGTAATCACAAGGTTTGAAACTTTTGATTAAATTATATTTATTAACAAAAAATTTGCAAACAACGTAAACTAATATAGAATTTACAATCTCTCTGTGCATTAGCTTAAGGATGGGCGAAATTATGGCGATGTGGTCTGATTTAATGAAATCATGCATAACGACCCTGTTCGTTGTTTAAAGTGTAAAACAGTGGAGCTCATGCCGTGATTATGTGATTGTACGCATATTATGTAGTCAATACTCCCGCTGCCTTTCACCTAGGCTTCTGCGTGGCAGGAATATAAACTTTAAATGCGAAACGACTAAATTCCATCAATATCCAGACGATTTCCGTTTAAAACTTGGGTCATTTGCTTTGCTATTACAGTAGTCAATGAGCCCGTACGTCTGCGCGTCTAAAGCTGCATAAATAGCAAATTCTTCCACAATTCGAATCAGTACGTGATTCACCGACCAATGACTAGCTGCGAGGCAGCAATCAAACACGATAACCGGATTTAAAGGGAAACTACACCCTAGAATTTTAGGGTAGGCCTATATTATGATAGCAAGTGCATAAATAAAAGTATATGCCTACAAATTTCTATAATCCATGCACTCACATTTGTCATAAACAACATTGAGTTTCGAAATCTTTATTTCTGGCAGATGACATGACACTCCGCAATTGTGCTGCCATCCCGACAAAGTTGCGCTTTCCCCAATTTAGTTTGCATGTTACAAACCGAGGGCTAACCATAAAGGGCAATTATATTTTTACGAACTGCTATTTAACCGAACGATTTTTATTTTAGGACAAATTAGTCCATATTATATATAACTGAATCTAAAAGTTATTTGTAAGATATTGCAATTCTTCTCCTCATAATTTAATGAATAAGAAACACCCTCGGTCTGTAACCTGCCCCCGAAAAGTTGCGATGCGCAACTTTGAAAGTAGATGGGCTAGTAGTGGCGCCACCGTCGTTGTAAGCAACGATACAGCCGTTAGTTTGAAAACATTGAAAAAATATTTTTAATGAATATCGAACAATTAAATTTTCCATGTAGCATAACTTAAACCTATTTTAATTGAAATATGCAAGGAACCTAGGGTCGTGTATCCCTTTAAGATATAATGGTTATTCTAAAATGGTACAAAAAAGTGACAGCTAGCTTTGACATAATTATACATTCGTGCAGCATAATGACACAGGTCAAATAACGTGTACTATTAACGCTGAGAGGGTCTATGTCCCCCAGTGTACTGCCGGAACGTACCCTGGTACTATCTAATATGCCGGACCGTACCTCGCCTACTCCACTAACGAGTCTAGGGAGTCGCCTACACCTACTCCCTAACCCTAACCCTAATCATATCAGATAGTTACCAGGGTACGTGTCCGGGTACGTTCCGGCAGTACCCTGGGGGACATAGACCCTATGAGCACTATTAACAGTCATCGCCAACTTGTAATTCATGATAAATGAGCACTCATCATCATCATCATTATCATCATCGTCGTCGTCGTCGTCATCATCGTCGTCAACGTCCTCACATCAGCATCACCACCACTACCGCCAGAATTGTTGTCTTCCTCATCACATCTCTGACTTGTTCACTTCAGAATTTCAGTTTCCTGACGATTCCAGACAAACGCCATCACATCATAACGGGCTTACATATGAAAGGCTGTGTCCGTCGCGCACATACATGTTACTTCTCGGTTTCATGCAAATTCGACTGGCTTCACGGATGCACGTATTATATGCAATCAACCGCTTTACACTGTACATGCGATCAAGTTCTGGTGGTACGCTCAACTATTTATACGCACGCACGCACGCTCGCACGCACGCACGCACGCACGCACGCACATGTGCATGTGCGTGTGTGTAGTACTAGTACTATAGGCCTACTATATTATCTTACTCCTGCTACTACTACTAGTACTACTACTACTACTTCTACTACTACTACTACTACTACTACTACTACTACTAGACTAGTACTACTAGTACTAGCTCTAGTAACTATAGCCCGCGTACAGTTGCCGCAGGCTATAGTTATAGTGCAGGCCTGCGGCAACTGTACACGGGCTATAGTTACTAGAGCTATACTAGTACTAGCCCGACCAGGCTGTGTGACTAACGTCAATATACACTATTGATGTATGACTGTTTCTTTGAGCTAACGTAATACGAATTGATAGTAATAATAAATCGGAGTTACTTTTCAGATGAAAGAGAAAAAATCTCACATTGGTAACGTCGTAGCAGCAACAGCAACAACTAAGAAAATGATATTAAATTTGAGTTAAATGGTCATAAGAAAATAAGAAACCTCATTACAATGTTTTTCCATCAGCCACTGAGCTAGTTCCAATCTGCACGAAGGCTGTTTACATAAGTTTAGGAATACACATATAACATCGATAATTTATATGTTAAAACAGCACATAGCTGACCATTGTACTTTTTTTATTTAATTATTCACATGGTCATTTTTCCTATTACGTTCATTACTTGTAGGTGTGTATGGTGTCTGGATAATTTCATCATAATAGGATTGTTTGTAATATAGCGCATTGTTTTTTATATATATAGGTTTGAAGAATCGCAACTAGTTTCCAAGAAGGCTGTTGCGGAAACTTCAACGCCAATCGTACACTGGCGACCAACAGTAGTTGCACCCCCTACTGTGTCAACATTATCGGCCAGGTAAACCTCCCTATGTTGAATAATGAATACATGAATGCATTTGATATTAGTACTTTACATTTAGTATACTTTGCCCAATATTTAATGTTACTTTCTATAATTGATATAACTTATGTATTGGAACTACAAACGTGATCGGAAGGTGAATTATTATACTTGTATGGCGAACCAGCCTATGTTCCGTGGTAAGGCATATATGTCACTCGGGGACATAGCCCCTGCACTGAGCAGGGTATCGCGTGGCGCGTAAATTCCGCAAAGCGTACGCTGGTGTACGGTACTATGGTGTACTCATCCCTGCCGTGCCATAAGCCGGCTCCTTGCTATGTCACGTTCTATTACGTTACGAATCTACCTATTGTATAGAGCCGATCCGCGCACATATGTAAATGTATTTAGTCTGATGTTTATTCTTTGATTAAACGTGTTGGTTGAATGGCTGATGCATAAAGTAATTCATCTCCATTGCTAATCTATGTCTATTTCTTCCTCGTTCGCACCACACACCACGTGGCGAGTCAACCGCTGTAACAATCCAGCAATCATATCTTAGACCGGTGGTAATGGCCAGAAGGGTTAATAATTAATTTAAATTTTTACATACATGTGTTACAAACAAGCATCTATTTCATGTGCAGTTCAAACCCAACAATGAGTGGCGTTGAGTGTTTGTCAAGCGATGATATTACTACTGACAATCCGCTTGATGAAACCTTTCAATATTCTCATGGTGCTCCATTGCCCATTACTGTGGAAGTTAATCCGGAACCAGGATACAGCTTGGATGAGTCATTGTAAGTGTAGTTTATTATTAATGAGATATTTACAAGCAAAATAACATGAACACTATATTGCTGTAATACTTTTTACACCAACTCCTAATTACACATCACGTGCAACAACACATGCAGTAGCATGGACCATACTGCAAATTGTTGTAAATGCCATAAAAAATTAATTCAGCATTGCTGAGAGGAGTGAAAGCCATGAAGATTGCAGAAGTGATGACCCTAGCTGGAGACTCAGTGACAGTGATGTCGGTGTTTGGTAAGTATTCCATCTTTTTACACTAAAAAGGGACAAGCAAGAGTCAGTGAAACAGTCTCATCTGTATTGTTGAAAAAAAATTGTGAGGGCTGGTAAAAAACTACAACCATTGCCTAATTTAATTGCTAGTTCATCCAATAAAGAATGTATGCCAATTTTTTTTAGCAACACTACCAGTAATTTCAGAACTGCATTACACTTCAGCTTGGAAAGTCGTCATACACAGGGTCTTGCAAATTGCCCTGCAATCGGCATAGAAGAGCTTGTGTATGACACACATTGTGAGGATGTCTACGAGGAAGAGATCGACCAACGTAACATTACGTTTGGTCCCAGGGTATTTTTTTAACTCTACTGTCTAGAAATTAATGCAGCATTTCATATTTCAGTTGTATACATAAATGTAAGGTGGTTCTTCTCTGCCATGTACATTGTTCTTTTTTCACAAGCATGTTCTTAAAAATGGGGTGTGATAGCGGAATATATTGTACTAGTCAATGTTAGTGTAAGTCCTCTATTAGTTAGACCTGCATTTGTATCAGTAAACTATTATGGTGCTACATTGTTGCAATTTCTTCTAAAAAATTTATCTACAGATCAATGATGCAAATGATGTTAAAGGGCAGAGGTGCTGCATTGCATACGAAGAGTGCCTTGTACACCTTGCCCGATTAGCAGTGGGACATCGTTGCGAATTGGCAGACTGTTCTGCTCGCATTGATATTTCATGCAAAACAGTGGGAACAGCTATGTTAATCGATTGGGTATGTAAACACCGAACTAAATTCAGCAAGTTCCACATCACTACAAAAATGCACGAAATCATTCTCACACACGCACACGCTATACAGCAACGTTACATTATAGCAATACATGAGCAATTTAAGTTAGAGAGAGAGAGAGAGAGAGAGCCTAACTTATACAATTGTTCTTATTCATTCATGTTTAATATGTTGTTGTGTCTTTGTGAATTTAGTGATTGACTAACTATGAATATGAATAAATGAAAATAGATAGATAGATATATATGTGTGTTTTAGGTGTGTGAGAACGGCCACAAGCCAAGCTCCATATCGCGCTGGAGATCACAGCCGTTGGTTAACGGGATGCGACTTGGCGACCTGACGGTTGCAGCAAACACTTTGTATTCGGGGAACAACTTCAGAAAAATTCAATTTTTCTTTAAATGCATTAATGCTGGTTGCATTAGTGAAAGTTCGTTCCTTCGAATACAAAGATTGTATGCTGTGCCGTCAGTCAATGAAATGTACAGTGCCATGCAGAACTCTGCCCTGGAGAAGTTCCATGGCCATTCTGTGATAGTTATGGGTAGGTGTTACATTTGTTTAACGTTTTTGTGACATGCAGTATATGTGGGGTAAATAGTTCAAGTGAATTATTGTATCTCCCGTGAGACGAAGTCGCCGAGGATACTATGGTTTCATGTCTGTCCAGCCTGCCGCAGACACTTTCCCTTCCGCTCTATAACTCTACCCTTAATTGACCTAGCGCGAGCAAACTTGGTATACTTACACATCTTGGGGAGAAGGTGTCTCGCGTACCAAAACCAGGTCACTGCAACCTTTATTTGACCTTGACATTGAAATTGGTCATATTTCCCTTCTGCTCTATAACGCGGCCCCTAATTGACCTAGCGCAACCTTTGTCTTTGTGACTTATTTCACTTTACCTACCTTGTACGTCCTTACGGAGATATTTCATTCATACTAGATCACGGGGGATACATGTAGTTGGCGACAACTCCCATTTCTAGTTTACATTAGTAATGTTAGTGATATAGCATTGCATCAACAATTCAACTTCATTATTTTAGGCGATGGCAGGAACGATTCGCCAGGACACAGTGCTATGTACTGCACATACACTGTGGTGGAGTGCGAGTCACTCACAATACTGGCTGTGGTTGTCGTGGACAAGCGACATGTCGGAAAGCGGTCCACTAATATGGAGAAAGAGGCGCTAGTGCGAGCCATGTCGATAGTGAGGGAAGCTGGGATTAAGGTGGTGGAAGTTGTGACCGATGCCCACTCACAGATTGCAAAGTACATCAGTAAGTCGTGAGATAAGTTAATGTATTTTTAGCAAGGAAAACATGTTGTTTTTTCATAAGAAAACTTGGAAATGTGCATTGATGATATATTGATGTTTTCATGTTTGCAGGAACTCAGCACCCATCCGTCAAGCATTCGTTTGATGTGTGGCATGGCGCAAAAAACCTTTGCAAGAAGTTGAATAAGGTAAAAAACTTATTTTACATGAATGACACTATAATCTTTTCTTGAAATACATAGAAAACAACACCAACTTTTTTGGCTTCCCGATTGTAAAGATCTAGTAATTTCCCAGCGGGAAAAAATTTCACTTAAAAATATAGAAACCATAACCATGACAGAATCACACAATTTATGGTTGTGCTTTAGTGAATGTTGGGCTGTTAATTTCTCATTTCTTCTAAAGGCATCTACACCTGCAAAATGCAGCCACCTTCGGCCGTGGATCAGGGACATCGTGGATCATTTTTGGTATTGTTGCCAACACTGTGATGGTTCGCTTATCAAGCTGCAGGTATATATAGGCCTACTATTGGAATTGCCTCAAGGTGTATGGTTCATTGTGTGTAAACACTCAATATAACAGGTGAATATGTCAAGAGTCACAGGTACATATCCTTTAAACCTGATGCCTGCACAGTGTGCATAAAAAAAGGTTAGCTAAATGTGGTAATCATTGGCCATCCCAAAAGTGAGACCTTCTCCAGGTTGTTTCGTTACTGCTTCTTGGTAATGAATTTGGTTCTAACTGCTATAGACCATCTGCAGGCTTATGATGCATAATTTTTGATGCCAATATCTCTTAAAGGGTCTCTGGAAGGGCGTTCTACACCATGTTAGAGGCGTGCATGAGTGGTATGTTGGAGATGGAGGGCCTGGTTGTTGTCTTCATGAAGAGATGCCCGACAACCAGCCCACAGGAAATAAGGAGTGGATGACTACGGACAGTCCAGCATTTGTTGCAATGAGGAAAGTGGTACTCGATCCATACCTCATCAGGACACTTCCTCATTACATCAATTTCAGGTGGGAATAGCTTAAAACGTATTTTTTAAATGTATTACAATACAACATGCTTTACAAAATGCTGACAGTAAACAGTCCAAAAATGAACACTATTATAACAACTAATTTGAAAACATATTGAAACATATTTATTACATTGTAAGCTGTTGACAATAAACATAATTGCTAATTTGTTGGCAGTGTAACAGTACAGATTGTATTTTTTGAATGCTCAGGTCAAACTTTCAGCTGGAAAGCTTCAACAGCCATATTCTCATGTATGCTCCGAAGAGAATTGCATTTAGGTAAAGTGCAATTTTAATTAATTAACAATTTAACAAACACCAACGCTGAGTTGTATATTTCTAAAATGTGACTTTCTAACATAAGTACAAATGACAGAAAATTTTTACGAAAACTGTTATGAATGAAATGTTATGAACTACTTTCGATGTTGACGTAGACACGTAATAAATTGTTTATAGTTCATTGTTGAACAGTTTAATATGTACCTCAGCATATCACGACCTCAAAAGATCACATGTAATGACTGGACTAAACAGACTATAATTTTACAGTTACCCAGTGTACAAAGCGCGTTGTCAACTGGCTGCAATTGACTATGCAACCCATAAAGATCGGCCGTTGAGAACAAATAAAACCAGTGGAGAAGTCATGTAAATACTTATTTTTTCTTATAGATTTGTTAACATTTTGTTAATATGTCAGCATGTACGAGCATTTCATAAAAATGCAATTGTCACAGTTTAATATTGCTGAACTTGTTTTTAACGTAAGAATTACTGATATTTCTTCAGTATACACCTATTTAAGTAGTCGATTTAAAATATTTCCATCTCAAACAGGTATCGCAAAGTTTTTTCCAAAAATGCGAAAAACTGGTCTGCCACTCCACTGCGAGAGCCGAAGACGTACAAATACATTGAAGAGCTTCAAGTACATACAGTGGCAAGAAGGATCAGTGATGATCACCCGGTGACGAGAAGCATTGAGCTATCACCGTCTGATCCAAGGCACATTTCCAGAACTGTGCAGGCTAGCACGCCACCATCTTTAAATGAATTGGTTCTTAAACATAAGTCCAGGTTTAATTTGTAAAAAGGACATGCTAAGAAATGCTCAATCGGAAAAAATAGGGCTAAATATAGTCTCACCTCACAGCGGATATACAGTAAAACTCACATAAGTAGTCATCGTCTAACTCGTCAATTCGCATAATGCGTCGTGGAAGTCATAGTCCCAATTTTTAGCTCATCCGACATAGTCAGATGCAGCTTGTAGAATCGCATGAGCGTGCGTGCGTCCGTCCGGCCGTGCGTGCGTCCGTCAACAGTTGGGCACAAATCTAAACGGCTCGACCTAGGCTCGTGATAGTCAGTGTATAGCATCATGGTAGGAAAAGCCATCACTGTGCCGAAATTGGAGGTCACAGGTCAAAAGTCAATGGGACACAGGGCAGATTTTTAGACATTTTCTGAGGACATGGTCTGACGGAGCGATTGAAAAACTTTTTTGTTTCAGCGGTGACCTACAATTTTTATGGCTTTTACTGCATACAACTGTACTTACTGTATAACAAATTGTCTATACCCACACGTATTTCTTACCAGATACCTAATTTAATTGTTATAATTAATTACACATCAACGCTACGAAATTTGAACGGCGCCATTACACCCGCAACCATGCTGCCACTCCGAAAAAGTTGCGTAATTGACAATTTATTTTGCCTGTTACAGACCGGGCGCACTTGATTCGGTTGCCAGCGAGTTTATTAGAAGAATACCTGGCTACAGTACACGTTAGTTGAGCGCTGTCGCTCTGCGGCACTTGTCGCTCATAGTAAATCAATTGGATAACTCAAGAACCGTTTCACCCACATGTTTCAAGTTGCAATACAGTTGTTACTCATATGGGAGATATGCTATATAATTGGAGTTCTCCCATATATACTCTTTATATATTGCTTTATATATCCCCCCTCCCTCTTCTATCACATCCAAGGTGAGCAACACAAAGTTTTTGCAACGGACCGCCCGACCGACAGACTCCCGTATACCAGGAGTAGATAATAGGGAAGGAGTGTGACATCAATAAACAAGGGAAATTCGTCATTTACTAGATGTTCTTGTTCTATTTCAATTGTTGGCCAAGTGTCTTGTCTGACCACCTCATGAACTCAAATTTGAGTTTTGACATGCATACGATTTTTGAAGTGGGGTTGCTTAATTTGTTACGCTCCACAGTGGCCGATGCAGGATTTCTATGAGGGTGGTGAGAAACAGGCGGGGAGGGGGGGTATGGGGGTCCCCCCCAGAAAATTTTGAAAATGCAGATTGCAGGAGAAGGTATTTGAGGCACTTTTGAGTCCAGGTACAGGCTTCATTCTGACTATGACAATTCTCTCTTTAGTAGAACAATTCTTGCACTTGCAGCACAGCATTGACTGATGTACAGGGGGGTGGGGCATTGTTTAGTTCGCGTTCCTCATTGAATATGTAGGGGGTGACCACCGCTGGGATCAGGGCGACAGCAAAACTCTTTCTTGGAATTGTCAAAAAAATCTGCAAAAGGGTTGTAACCTGCTTTGCCACTCAATTACATAATTTAACCCATGCATCAGGTGCCGTTTTGTACTGACGCGCGACTATTATACTTGACAATAATTAATTGGTGAGCTATATATGTCAAAATATTATTGACGTGCACGCGAAGCACGCGCAGCGGGTGGGTTCGCGCAAAGCGCGGAAGCTCTAGCATTAATTAAAACGGGAGACGTAATAATCAGTGCTCTCCTCACTCTCTCTGTCTCTCTTTTCTCTCATTTAATTTTATGTGGCGTCAAAAAGTGGGGGTGCTCGAGCCCCCTTAGCACCCCCCCCCCCCGTTCCGCAGGCCCTGCTCTATGCATGTGAAAGGACCACACAAGACTTGCCCCTAACACACTAACAATAGGTCTGAAACTACTCAAGCAATCAATGCACTGCTGTCTGCACTACAGATGGTCTAGGATCGTCAGATTCTGCCATGACAGCCACAGTATCACTAACAGTCAATTAATGAATTATCAATAAAATTGATTCAAAGAAGATGCAATGACTGCAGACGACACGACTCTGAAAATTGACTGGAATCCTGATCACGCATCTCGCCGTAGTTGCCTTAGTAATCCTTAGGGTTAGGGTTAGGGTTTTTGCATCATTCCTTGATATATGAAAAGTCTGTGCATCGGTTGATGATACACACAAATCTGTGCATCACTTCGTGATACCTAAGGTAAAGGTGCCTAAAGTGGATTTGCGCCGGGCCTGTGAATGAAGGAGGCATACAACAGTAAGCTTCCGCGATTGTTCACTGTTGCACTATTTCGTCTCTAGAATTTAAGGCCTTTTTTGGCATTTTTTTTCGCCGAAATTCGGCACTAGAGTGCAATAATTAGCATTATGCACGCAAGTTGGATGCCTCGTGGACGTCAAGAAAGCATTAGAAGTAAAATTATTTTTGTTGTGTATTCGTGACATTCCGTCAGGTGGCGTAGCAGTCACCGTTGGTGTTTTTTTGTGTATGAAATATGTTCAGAGCGACTTTGCAGAAATTCCGATCAATATGAGCTGGCAAAAGTTTCGATGGGCGGAGCATTAAGGATGATCTGTAGTTATTTAACATGAATAAAGTGTATGTTTTTTGTAAGCGCAGTAAGTGTGAGTATTTAAATTATTTACTGTTCGGATGCTTGATTAGGCTTGCAGTCTGGGCTGCCTAGGGCCTCTACTTTTGTTCAACACCTGAACGGAGGGTGCACTACCATCGCCTCTACTAGCAGGTATCTAACTTCTGAGGACGATTTATTATATATCACTAAGAACCGATGAACTTGTGAATCTTCATTGGGTAATCGTAGTTGTATTACTAAACATAAAAACTCACCAATAAATCACAGAAAAGGCATCTGAGACAGGCTAACTCCTGATTGTAGTAACACTGATGCAAGAATTTCCGTTTTTCAAACGCGCCACCCTTCCAGGACGTTTTCGTACTACTAGTATCTGCCAGATTAGACAGGCCACTTGGAGGCGTTTCAATAAAATATTAATGTAAATAAATTACGAAATTTATTAGCTACCAAAGTCTTAATGTTTCTCTTATATCTCTTTAACCATATCTATTGCGACAATTTCCTTTTAAATGCCGTCCAAATGCTCATCTGCAACACACGCTGGCTGCCGCACCCTACTGCCGCCCAGCACATATATATATACGTGAACTACATTTGCGACGGCATTTACAGAAATATGTCGCATTAATAGGTGAAAGAAAGTAGAGCAAACATTAAGACTTTGGTAGTAATAATAGATTTCGTATTTATTTAGCATTGTATTTGATTGAAACGCTCCAAGTGCCTGTGTGCCAGATCCCCGATAGGAAGAAAAAGACGAGGAATAGCACGAGCATATTACAAACATTCATGGTTGAGAGCAGAAATATTCTTGGTTGCGGTGTGATATACAGACGGTATGGTTGCGGTATAATTCTATGATTCCGGGTTACACTCTACACAGACATGACTACAGAATACCTGAAATACAGCTACGAGAAGAGAAGATGGGAGAGATAAAATAAGATAAATAAGATAGATATAAGATGGGAAAGGAGAGATAGAAGAGGTTGGGGAGGGAATATAGGAAGATATCGAAGTGGGGATATATATACATACATATATATATATATATATATCATGGTGAAATGTTGGTCTGGTATAGAAAGAAATAGGAGAAATTTCTTATTTGAATTTATTCTTTGATTTTGTTTATAGAGAATGTAGGTGCGCATGTTCACTATATGCCGAAATAACCAATATTGAGTTCGCTATCTCTCTCTATCTTTAATATATCACCACGTGCTTTCTCTCTTTCGCTGACTCTGCCTTTTATCTGTCTCTCGTCTTCTCGTCGTTCTGGCTATCTCTCTCTCACAAACGCGGCTGGCGCGTACGCTAGGCGCCTTCAGCACACGACGCACACACGCGACGACGCAGGCAATGCACGCCACACACACACACACACCACACACACAGCACACCAGCACATACAAACAATAGAGAAGTAAGGCAGAGAGACGAGAATGAGAGCACATATTAAATGAGTTTAATGTTTGACGACGAAGGCAACGTTAGAAGTATTGCTCGACTAATTTAGACGGCAATTTAAATTAGAGTGCGTCAGCTCGCTGTGTGGCAACTAAGAGTGAGTATTGCAAATAATCGCGTGCTTATAGTTGTCAGGAAAATTTCATGGGCTCTAAACTAGACAACTATTGATTCCAGGTAAAATGTTGGCGTACACATTCTAGTTGGTTAGTGTTTCATAGTTGTAATGAGAGTACTGCGTAAATGGAATAAGATATGGGCGAAATAACGCGTTGGTAATTATAATTAGTATGGTTTGCCTTGTCCAACACATTCAATAAAGATGAACGTTAATTGTTATAATCTAACGGTGAGCGAACAAAACAGAATAGTTATAAGAACAGAGGCAATATTTCACAAAACAAACCCTCTGGGGGTTCTTTTATTGATACCATACTTTTATATATGATAAATATATCATTAAGGTACGACCGATATAAATTAGCTAAGCCAAGGCCGCATTATTAGATTTGTAATTACGTAGATAGTTCGCTACCCGTGGTACTCATATCAAGGAAAGAACACGCACGTGGTAACTAAGTATAACGCTAACCGTAAATATATTATAGCTGCTACAATGTATAAATATCAAGCGATATTATTATCTAATTCGTTGATTGATCAGGCGTGAATAGAAAGAAACGTGTTTATTTTCGGCACGGCCTGACTACAAGAATGACCTAGGGTGTTGATCAGTTATTGAACGTGTATCATGAAATGCTCCACGGGTAACACGATGGATGAATGCAATAAAGTGATCGGAGCCGTCCTATAGATGTCACTAGCATGTACTGAAAATGTTGAACCAAAATACCGTCTTACTCGTGTATAAGCGCCACTTTTTCGTAGGACAGTGGCGTTGGGAATTCATAAGAAAAAAAATAATAGTAAGGGGTGCGACTGTATACATAAGGCTAGAAATCATACGTAGTATTGATGGACGCAGTTTCATGCACAAAGACAGGAAATGGGGTGCTAATTATAATCGAAATATTCTACTATGAGTAAATACGTATAATTTGTTACTTTGTGATGGCTATAATGATTATATGCTCTATGCATACTGGGCGTAGTTAAGCGATAATCGTAAAACTTGATCTTTTATCTAATTGCCGAGATCTTATTTTGGAAACGCCCGAATTCATAGGTACGTTGATTTCGAACCGAGTATTTAGGGATTAGCAGGGTACAGATAGCTAGGGAATGCGTGCGATTTACATCACACCGAATCTAACATGGCGTCGGCGCTACACATAGCGGGGCATTGGTGGTGAAATGATAATTAAGGCTAGTAATATGAGTCTACACTGTACATGTCATGGTGACGGTAAATACACATACGAACCGACAGCGTCATTGTATGTCATGGTTGAATTATAGATATTAGATGTTTGAAAAGAGAGGGAGGGGAGAGAACGCGAAAGGGCGGGGAAGAGGGGATACATATATAATATATATCTATTATGGTGTGTGTTGTGTTGCGTGTGTGGCGTGTGTGTGTGGTGTGGTGTGTTGTGTGTGTGTGCGTGCGTGCGTGCTGTGGTGCGTGCGTGCGTGGCGCCGGCGTGCGTGCGTGTGTGCGTGTGGTGTGTGTGGTGCGTGCGTGCGTTCGTACGTGTGCGTGGCGGCTGTGTGTGTGAGTGAGTGTAGTGAGGCTGCGATAGTGAGAGGAGTCATGAGTTAGCAGTGGTTGCCGGTTGACTCCAGATATAGTTCAGCGATGAAAACGCAAAAGTGTAGTAAAGAATATTTACCTCAGAGGGTATGACGACTTATTAGAATGAAATTACATCTAATAAGACTGAATTAAAACACTAAAAAAAGGAACGCCACAGATGGCCAAGTGTCTTGTAGAAATCTATCTTCAATGACATTAACGAAATGAAGTCAAGTACTTACGGATCAGATGACGAGTAACTATCGTAAATAGTAAAGAGTAAAAGTAGGCGGCAGTACGCGGCACGGTTATGACTTCGATACCGCAGCTATACTGATAGTGCGGGTAGCCATTCCTTTGATCAGAAGTTTTATAAGCATACATTGAAAGGCGAGCGTAGCGATGACATAACTTGTGACGACAAGTCTGCCGATTCAGGAAAATGAGATAACGCGACAGAATATTGGCAATTGGGATGGAATGCTCATTTTTTCATTCTTTCGCCGGCGTTCCCTGCCAATATTGTTTCACTCGTGCTGCATTGAGGACAGCCTAGATTCCACAGAAACCAAATAATACCACGCCTTATAACGCTTCTTAATTCGCAAATGTCGCTACGTTTTAACAGAAACATCCATAATGTCAGATGAAATGCAATTATAATCGAACGCTCGATTTAAGAAACTAGAATAATTTCTAGATGAACGCGTCCGCTGTCACGGGTGCCAGTTGTTGTATTGCGCTGGTTTAGCGATTTTACGGTACGCATGACTACATAGCTACACATGCGATGAATAATCTAATAAAATAAATGATACTTAGCTAACAAACGCCTATCAACGCAATCGTACCGCTCGTACACAAACTTTTCAATATTTTTTTATTAAAATTTATTCAAACTCTAATTAGCGTTAATTCATCAAACGCAATTTCCACTGTACTAGAAAAAATGCTACCGTAGATATGTAGAGTCGAGACTATTGAAATGTAATTTTAAGCCGATCGCAACATTTAACACACTATAGGACCGTAACTCACCGTGGATGGAGAGCGAAATTGGCAGTGCCGCTATAATACTCGTAGAGAAAAATATTGATCGATTTAAATAGCCCTATATGTGATGTAACGTCATAATTAATAGAACAACTTAATTCCTTAGGGCTTAATCTCATTCTAACGAGTCGTTTTGTCTTTCAACGGTTAAAAAACGGCATTCCCGTCGTCATCAACATTCAGGAGACGAATTTTGCCTCCTCTCTCTAGAAATTTCTTCAACTATGGCCTGTATATACTAACGTGTGGCTTGCGA